AGAACAAATAAATTGAATACGAGGGAATAGTATATTTTTAAAAAAGGGTTGGAGGAGTAAAGGATTCTGTGTGTCATGGGGATTTAACCTCAAGATAATGGGTAAACTATGTGCGCTCTCTCTAATATATAAAAAGTTCTATAAGACCTCGTCGTTTGATTTGACACTCAAAAAGGGATGAATTTTGAAATTTGTTGTTTAAAATAAATTTTAGATATTCGTGTAGTTATAAATCATTTTTTTAAATCTAAAAGAGAAATTTTAAGGTTAATTTTTCTAATTATATATATAAATGTGACATTTTATTTTAGACATATTAAATAAAAAGCATGACACATAAAACATGACACACACACACACATATATAATATATATATATATATATATATATATATATATATATAACATACTAAAATGAATGTCCTTTAATCTTATAATTTTAAATACGACATATGAAAAATTTAAATAAAAAATTAGAAAAATAAAATAAAATATTTTCTTAATAATAATTTAAAAAGAAAAATAAGATAAACAAATTACTTAATATGGAGGGAGTATTTTTTTTTTTTTGTTGAAGAAACAATTAATAGATATGGATATAATTTTGTTACTCCATTGATTCTTCTTTCTGAATTTCTCCGTAATTCGAGGGTTGTTAATTGCGTATTTCTCGAACTAAGATGGTTTGAACTTGTTCTCGATGAAAGAATTTATGAATCTTGATCTCTATAATTCGAGTGTTGTTAGTGACTATATCTCGAACAAAGATAATTTGGACTTAATCATCTCCAGTCCCCATGATAGGAATTGTGGTTATATGGTTTGATCTCTCTTATGAATATCTCAGAGTTTATGAGATATTCAAGATGAGGTAGTACTAATTAACATTAGTTAGAATCATTAAGTGAGAAATAAATTACTACTATGGTAAGACAAGATTGGGGTCACGTGTATTAAAGATGAGTAGTAGTGGCGTTTGAATAATGTAGTTTGTCAGAAGGTGTATGCGTGTATTTCAGTAGAGTTCCATCAATCATATCCTCTGAATTCATTGTAATTTCGAGATCATCAAAGAATCATACTTCTTTTCCATCGAATGAAATCCAACATCTTTCTGCTACTGCTCCCACCATTTTACATTATCTGTAAAGTTAGTTTTCGTGTTGCTTAATGCTACCCCTAAAAGTAACACTAGTCTTTCTTAGTATAGTAATAATTAACCGGTTTTTATCTAGGCTGACAAGCTTACGAAGAAGATATGTGTTATTTTTTATGGGATCATATAGTGGGACTCATTACTTTGACTTTTCACTTGCTATAGTCATAAGCTGTGGTAGTTTTGGCTCACCATCATAGAGGTCCACCCTGAGAGATCAGATTTGGGGTGTCAGATCTAGTTATTTATCTAAAGAGTTATTGCAATTACTTATCTTAGATTCCATCATCACACCCTTCTGGTTCACCTGTAGTACAAAGAGATGAAAGTGAAGAGTTTTATGAAAATAACACAAATTCACGTGATGCGGTGTTTTAGGACTCTATGATGGTGTTGCCCAATGGCCAAATCTATGCGGTCTGTTGGACAAAGTAAAAAATATATGACATATGCTTGGGTACTTGTGACAAATATGGTATCCAAGGGGACACTCAGTAGATTAAACTTCAGTGGGGGCGATGAATCCCTAAGAAATGTATGTCACTCATGATGGGTGGCGGCTAGACAAGGTTGGATTGTAGGCAAATTTCTAGGTTGGTGAGCTTATGAGCTGAAGAAAGGGCACATGTTATACCTTTAAGCCTTACTCCAATATATGATAAACATGTGTTTGAGCTCCATGTTGACATAGCTTAAAAGATAAATTCATTAAATTTGTACGAATAATTTATATCATGGGTTCCAATCCTTACAAAAATATCAAGTTCATACTTTTTGCTTCAAAATTCTAGTGATACTACTCATTACTTTTTCCCATTTTATCTTTTGAACTGCAATTTTTTTTTGGTTAGGTAGGATGATATTCATTTTTTATCAAGAGTGTATGAGTGTCACAATCTATTCATCACAAGCTTTTGTAGTAGAAATTGTATTTAACGTATTTATTGCAATTAATGAAGCCCTAGCAATCAAGATAAAGATTGTCAGTGAATATGTTCTAGACAAAATATTGGGAGATTAGATTGGTAGTTCTTTACGAATTTGTATTAGTTGTGTCATTTTTACTAGAGATTTTTATTTTTATATGCAAAAGATTTTCACTTTATATGTATGATAAAATATTCGAAAATGCATTTTTTTTGTTGTATTTATAAATCTTTGTTAGATGTCATTACAATTTACCAAGTTAAAAAAGCTTATATATATTTGTGTGACCGTAAAATATAGTTGAATATTTGTTTCTGTTATTGCTGATCATTTACTAGAATAATAAGTCATTTTGTTATTGAGGAGAGTTTATTTAAATTTAAATGAAATGTTATGTGAGTTATTGAATTTTATTTTGTAGATTTGTTTATTTTTTTTAGATTGGCTATTTAAAACCTTTTATATTTGATAAAATTTAAGAGAGAAAATTTTAATAATCTTTCAACCTTTTTTCGTTATACCGGCTTGAAAAAATAACAGAGCCTCACTAGTCATATACGAGATCCGTGAGTTAATTCTAATGAATCATGTTAAAACTATTTAAAAACAATATCAATGTTTAATCTATTTTTCAAATATGATAAGCAATAATCTCTCCATAAATTTTCATAGATGAAAATCATTAAATTTAACCTGTGAAAATAAAATCATATCTTAAAGTTTATAATATAAAAAATTGTAATGGAAAATGAATTCCATTCACAAGAGAAAAAAATACAAAAATGCGAGACATAAAAAAAAACTTGGGAAAAACTAAAAAAGATATAAGTCTAAGAATGTGACTGAATCAAATAAATTAAATCTTTTTAATATTTGTAAAATATTTCTTAGCAATTCAATTTTTAAATATTATTTATTTGTTAGGAGTAATGTGGATTGGAATATCAATGACATCGTTATGTTGATTTGACATTGACAAAGAGAAATTGAATTTAAAAGAGATTTTGAATTTCTTAGGATTTAAAAGGATGAGTTTGTCATCAAGTATCATGATATTCTTTTGATGAGAATTTAAAAAATGACAAAATAGTTGAATTTATTTTTGTGATAATTTCATCGAGATGTTAGATTAAAATTTATTTTATAACAGAGTCTAAAGATCGATCTCTCTATCATTTATATAATAAAATTGGTAAATACTTTTAAAGCATGGAGACAAAGAAGAGTCTTCAAATATTATTGATGATACTTTTTATGCACAAAACAAAAAAAATATTAATGAAAACCTGATGCAATATGTAGAAATTTCAAACAGATATGTCATGTCAAGAAAGTGTACGATTCAATGACGTTCAAAACAATCATCAAACACAAACAACAAAAACAAAAATTGAGGTGGATTAACTTTATCATACAACAATATATAATTGAAAGATAGGTGTTCAATATTTGTTATTTTACTAATCTACTAGAATAATAAGTAGTTTAGTTATAAAAGGAGTCTTTATTTTAATTTTGTTAGATAGGTATAACTCCATTAAGTGTGATATTAAGGGATTTTGAATATATTGTATAAAAATGTACTATTATATAAAATGTGCTAAATTAATTATTTAACTAATTTAGAAGGGGGGTTGCACTAGCTCTATAGTATTTCATGGGTCCTCCTTATCTTTTTGTTTATTTAATTTTCCCTTTTTTGTGGGGTTACACGTTGGGGCCTTGTGGGGTTGGGAGGAATGCGATGTTGAGAACAGTGGACTATATAGCAAAGGCTGAAAACCCTATACATGTATCATGTGATTTACCTACTGTTCTAGCGTCTACACAATGCAAACAACTAATTATATGATGGTAGCATGACGTGACAAGAGGAGTTGCTCGTATGGTTTGCTCGTATGGTAAACACTTGTAACTTCTAACCTGAATTTTATGAGTTCGAATTATCAAAGGAGCAACAAGATGGAAGCTGGTTCCAACCTGAATATTATGAGTTCGAGTCTCCATGGGAGCAAAAAGGTGGGAGTTGGTTCTAACCTGAATATTATGAGTTCAAGTCACCAAGGGAGAAAAAAGGTGGGAGTTGGTTCCAACCTGAATGTTATGAGTTCGAATCACCAAGAGAGAACAAGGTATTGAAGCTTTCAGTTAACAATAATTATATCAACAATCAACTTGTTAAATTAGGTCTTGGGCTAAACTCACACCCCAAAAGCTAGCTCAAAGGAATGAGGATTGCCCAAGCCTTATAAGGAGTCCACTCATCTCATTAATGTGAGACTTTTGTCATTGCAACCAAATTTGTCTTCCTTCTCTTCTCTTTCCTGTCATATAGACATGTTGCTTCACACAGGACTTTTTAGAAAAACAAAAAGAAAAGTGATTTTCTTTACTGCGTCCCTTGCTCTTCAAGTTGCCTTAATTAGCTTAGAAATAATAAATTAAATTATAGTACTAATGTTTGATCTTTACTCAGATTTTTGTGCCCTTTTTGATAAGTTTCTTTCGGCTATACATTTATAATATTGAAACTTGGCAGCTTTGCAGCATATATTAGGTAAAGAAAAATGTGGTCCATATGAACAAAAGTCTGAAATCGTATGTAAATAAGTAATGCATTTATTAATAAAGGATCACTTTTTATATATATAGGCTACAGATTCTAACTGGAGAATCTGCTTTACAATGACATACCAAATAGTTACTTTGTTTATATATATTGACCCATAAACAAATCCCATATGCCATGCCATGCCACATTTTAGGACTTATAGGTAGTAGATAGATAACTATGACTCAATACTCAATAGCCATATTATAAAATGCTAACAACAAGTGTTTTGAGTTCAAAGAAATAACACATAGAAGATCGAGGGTACTCATCACAAAACCCTAACAAGTTGAATTTATTATCAAATCAAATACTTCCTCCTCCTCCTCCATGGATATGTTGATGATAATCTCCAGTAGTGTTTTGATGATCATTCCAATTAGGGTAAGAATACGGTATCGGATAACTAGATGTTTGATAAAAACCACCACCACCACCACCACCTCCGGATGGTCTTCTAGTAATTAATTCAACCGATCTTTGACGAAGAGTGATGTTATGATGAACAGGTAAAGGTGGAACGGGGGAAGATGTGAACTCATTGCAAGCATAGCGGATCAAGTCCGCATTAGCCGCGTCCAGCTCCTTTTGGAGGCGCTCGACTTGGCGTTGGAGGAAGGAGATTGCGCCTACGCAGCCGTAGACGGGGTCTCTAACTCTTGCCTCGGCTTCGTAGGCTAAAGAATTGACGGCGTCTTCTCGTTGGTGCGGAAGGAGTTCGTTGAGGAGCTTAGTGACGTTGCTAGCGCCAAAGATTTTGTGGACGTTGATGAATTTTTGCGGCTCTTCGGGTGGGAAGTAAGGTGAGAAAATGCAGCCAGGAAGACATTTTCTCCTTAGGAACTTGCAAGCAGCACAAGGGGAGTTGTATGAGCTGGATGATGCCGCCATTCAATCCTTCTTTAACTAGCTGCAAAATATCAAGTAATTAAATCTCTTCTTATTCTTTTAAATGTCTCGTGAAATTCAGTGTTTTTGTTTGAACCTGAAATCTCGCGGTTCTCATCCAACTTTGATATATGCATCTTAATTGTTTTCTATACAAACCTCTACCTAAGTTTAACTTTAATTAGTTGTTAAGTATACTACTTTCTCTATTTCAAATTATATCTTATTTTTCCTTCTCTAGTCTACTTTCCAATTTGGGGTTTTCGTAATTTTTTTAGAACTGGGAAACAAAAAGGAACATTTCAATTTTGAGTTAACAGATTTATTAGGAAAATTGGAAATCTATGCACCCCTCTAATTTGTACGAATTCAATTGAACTCGTTATTTTTTATACAGAACATATAAATACATAGTATGAGAGAAACCATCTAAAGAGTTCAATAAATATTAGGTTTTGAACCATATATATTCATGAGATATACAGTGAGTTCATGTTAAAAACTTTAAAAATTGAATCGATCAAGTTTAAATCATGGATCCATCACCATTAATTAGAAGCGTTAAGTTCAAAATGAATTCTATTTTTGGTATTATGTCCACTGCTAAGTTTAGCTAATTATATATTTTGTTGTTTCCTTTTATGTTTTATGTTTTATCCCAACTAACTAATTATTTCTTGTTTTATAGTTCATATGACTCAGAAACACACTGCATGCTGTATCATCCAGCTAATTACTAGAGCCAGTAATTTTCATGATCCTGAATTTGGATTTTCCAATGGAAGTAGTGATATATCCTTTTGAATTTTGTTAAACATAAGATCTAAACAAAAATGTTCTTGAAATCTTATTTCATAAAAATGTTTTTTTTTCAAGAAAACCCTAAATCAAGAACTGTGACACCAACTAATATAGCCAACATTTTTGTGTACCTTTAAGAAAAAGAAAAAAAAAAGATTTAGGCAAAAAAATGCTAGTAACTCTATTTTTTGATCTAGGTATATGTTTGATGAGATGAAAGAAAAATGGAATTAATCAATTACCTTTTTTTTTTTTCTCTTTGAGGAAGCTCTCCTTGAGATCACAACTTGCCTCTTTATTTCTTCAATCAAAGTAACAAAAACAAAGTACAAAACATTAAAACAGTAGCAAGATTGAAAAAAAAAAGAAGTGAACTTAATTCACAAGTAGAATAGTTACTAGCCCTGTAAGGGGGAAAACCCTAATTGAAGAAGAGAAGAAGTTTAGGTTTGTCCCCTGCAAATCTAGTAGTTGTAGTAGTAGGAAAAAAAGTTATAAATAAAGAAAAAAGAGTGAAGGGGCAAAGGGGATATTAGTGATGGAGAAGGAATGAAGGCAAAAGACAAAGAAGGGTAATAATTAAAATGGAAGGTACACTAGGGAAAAAAAATATAAAAATATGACTATGTCCCATGACTCTGCATCTAATAATAATTTCATACTTTTGTGTGGGGGATATATGTATCATGCATGTATCTAAGTTTTTTTCCCTTCTACCCTATTTCTTTTTGTCTTTCATGTATGTATATTAGTTTTCATCCTCTTTGTTCCTTTGGAAATTTAATTAGGTCATTTCACCAATAAATGAAGAATGTAGTGAAATGCGATTTTTAGTGTGAATTGCTGTGAATATAGAGTTTTTTAACACAAATTACGTCTGAAGTCATTAGATTGAGGACATGTCTGAGTGTCACGTATGAAGAAGAAAAGAAGAAGTAAAGATAGGAAATGAAAATGTTGTTTAACCAATTAATTTGTTGTAGTAGAGATTGAAGATACACGTGTTCTAACCTCTAGCCATAATTGAAATGGTTTTCTTATTTTCTGATTATGGAGGAGAAAATCTTTTCGTTCATTTTGTCTAAACTTGTTGTCAATCACCAATCACTCTCTTTATGGAGTTGACATGCTATATCACTTTATTGGCATTTAGGTGTTCGTGAAATTTTTATACTACAAAATTGACCAGTTTGTGGTTGTCACTCTATTATAATTTTTTTTTTCAAATTTGAAATAAATAAGAGCATAAACAAGCTTACTCAAGCAAAGTTATATTGCTTGAGTTTAACTTGTTTGAAATTAAAGTGTCGTTATTATGACAAATAATTTAGGAAGTCGTGGGATGGCACATGAATAAAAAACAAACGATTTACTTAATGTTTTTTTTTCAAGAGTTAATATTTCATATTTTTTTTTTTTTCAATATGTTAGAACCAAAGCAGTCAAGGTTATGTCCGAATTAATAATCAAGAGAGTGAGTTGTGAATCATAAGATTTTAGATGCAAATTTCAAATGAGAGCGATCAAAACACTATGTAAATTTTTTCTATTTGTTTTATAAGTCTTGATAAAGAAAATTACTTTGTATATGCTACCGCACAAAATTAGTCAAACTGTGCTAGTGGCTCATTCACCATAGTTATGGATTGTCAATGACTAACACAAGATGATTTTGGATATTCAATTTCACTTGCATCTTGTGTGAAAAATGATCAACTATTTGATTATCTTGCCGTTGTTGCTGATTGTTTTTTTTTTTTGGAAAAATTATTTAACAAAAGAAAATATATGTCTGGTATTTATTTGAAATAATGAGATTTAAAAAAAAAATACAATTTATAGTGAGAGTTTTGAGTTTTATTTGTTTTGCTTTGTTGTTCACTTGCTCTGTATATATACAACAAATTAAATATTGAGCAGATTGATAGACTGATACAAAGCAAATTAATTATACACTGTATCACGAGTTTCTAAAGTAAACTGTTACGACATTGGTAATTATCCAAATTATTACTATGATTGATAATTAGGACTCCTAGTGCTGCTAGCTATTTGTGAATTTTCCTTTCTTTTACTGCTAAATTACTTACTAGTAGTATGATATGTGAATTAAATTAATATCTCTTGACCGACTTATACTTATAAAATTATGTGTATGTTGAAACCCTCTATAACTTGGGTTGTACATAACACATAATTTCTCAGAGAAATTTGACTTTACTTTTTTGTTTTCGAGGTAACTCTCATCAATTAATAAACTAATTTAACCTTTTCAATATGTATTATGTATTAAATTCGTTTGAACTAAAGAAGCTAAATGAAAGAGATTAATTCCTACGTACCTAACCTTATTATACGGTTAGTATAATTTTACAAATAAAGAAATGAAAAAAGGACACAACTAAAAACAAAAACTAAAAGGAAAGATACAAAAGAATTAGTATTTTTTTTGTTTCTGTATCGCAGTTCGACTTAATTCAGATTTGCCCTAAAAAATTACCATTGAAGATAATCGCTTCCTAATAAAAAGAACTCCGTAGCAGAAGACTCGAATCCGACACACAAAGAATAGTATCATGAATAAATAAGGACGTCTTGGAGTTTTTCTTTTTCAGTTACATGCTTTAAAATGTTCTAACCGTAAGACCCACTAACTGGGGGACCGTTTGGAAAATAATTTCCTTACGAAATCAAATCTTTTTTAAATTCTTTGGAGATCTGAAGATGGTAAAGTCAATTCAATATATTTGACTTGAAAGTTTTTTTAAAATAATAATTAAGACAAAGTGGGATTTGAAAAAAATAACTGACACACTCAAGAAAGTGAATTTTTGTTAGATTCTTATGTAAAAGATTAATTATCTCTAGAATTTTTAACCAATAGTAGGTAAAGTTTCATATTTTGGAAAGAATCTGCTTTATTTTATCTCTTAATTTTCATCAAATCCAGAAAAGTTATTTCAATTTCAGTGGTCGATCCAGGTTGTTTCCTTAAACCTTTATTACTTTGAAAACACAGCAGTGACTAAAATGGGAGATTTGATTTTATAGCCTTTTACAAATTTATTTTTAATTTTATGTCAAATGTTATTTTTACATGTAAGAAATCTGAAACGTTCATTTTCTTTAATTCAATTCTTCAAGTGACAAAAGAGATCACTTCATTGATTAAAATCGTAATGAGCATTTACTTTGTTGTCAATTGTCATTTTTATATGTTTGAATGCAATTGTACTACTAAGAAATCACTATTTTTGATTTTGTAGTTGTTAATTTTTTATAGATATTTTAATTTAATCAGTGAGAAGAAAAAAATATTTAGTGTCTAACTGTCTATTCTTCAGTATTCCAATGAAAATCTCTTTGCCACCATGTGTTTTTCCTAGTGAGCTAGTTCAATGGAAATAAGGTGGAAAAATCATGTTTTATAACACAATTTTCTTATTGATTCACATTTGGAAAAATCGCTATTTCTATTAGTGGTTGAGTCTAAAATTTGAAAAATGTTGGTCATTACTTAGTAAAACTTTGCACTAAAGTTCCGTGCGGCACTTAATAACTTACTCACGAATCTCGAAGTAACGGGACATAACATTATGCTGTTTATTAATCCTCGGCATCAAGTGATTGATAGACAAATCTTAGCATAAAATGTGCATAACTTTTAAGAAACAATGGTTTAATTTCGTTAAAAAGGCATACAAAAAGATAAGTAAATCAAAAGTTGAAAATTAGGTAACTTTGTTTTAGGAAACAATAATTAGAATAGAGTCTTTCAACTATCATTAGATCACCTGGAAGATAAAAAGCCTAAAATTTGAAAAATCATCACACTTTGACTCTGATCTACTACTTAACTAACTACTAAATTGAATTAATTTTTCAACTAAGAGACAAACATGTCTTAATTCAAACTCAAGTTTGCCAAAATCACCTGAACAAAGCAGTCAATGATTTTATTCAATAACTAAATTAAAGCAGTCAATGATTTTATTCAAAAATTCCTTGGTAAATGCGTTATCAATGATTTTTCTTGCTTGTGTTTTATTCAAATTTCCCCCCTATAAACGTTTTGAAACTAAATAATCGTGGGGATTTCTTAAAGTATGATAAGTGTGGAATAAGAATTTTTATAAGCAAATACTACCAAATATATAAGGAGATTCAATTTATATATACACTATAATTTTTAATTAAAAAAA